ATATCAACAGGAGTAATGCATTCATCTTTATATCAATGCACTGACAAAATATACTTTCAATATGTGCATAATAGTCATTTTGTTACTATGACAAAATACCAAAGGCAGCCCGACTTATAGGTAAATTGTTGGATTTAGTTTACAGCTACGAAAACTGAGAGTCTGAATAGCATGATGCAGATTCTTGCAAGGATTTCCTTTGACTGTGTCAAATCATAGTAGGTTGGAATGTTGTGGGAACACATATAGGAACAACTGATCACATCAGGAGCCAAACCAAGGATTCACAAGAGAATCTTTCTTTAATGGATGCTCCCCCAAGGATTTAAGAGCCTCTCACTAGGCCTCACCTCTTGAAGGTTCCACCAGCTCTAATTATCACCATCCTGAGGGCTAAACCTTTCACAGATGGGCAGGAGGAGGACATTCATAACTAAATCTCAGCAGCGAGGAAGGGACTCACAGACACATACCAAACAGGAAATCTGGTATGATAAAGGGAATGAAAGTCATGTTTTCAAAAAAGAAATGATCGAGAAAGCCACTGATCACAGATGGGTGGACTCAGCATTTATCTATAGACAGATTGGGAACCAGTAGGGAGACATGCAATGGGTGATCTGCATCAGAAGGGCTCTCAGTCCTTCATGCTCTGTAGACATGACCCTCATTTTCCTTCTCACTAGCACACTGCTCTGGCTAATTACCAAATCAAAAGAAATAGAAACAACTCTAGACCTCAGCACAATCAAATTAGCAGAGTTATTTGAGGACACCACTTTCTGGCAGAGTAATCATACTCTTTTTGTGTTGTCAAAACCAGTGAAAATTATCTTGCAAATCCAAAACAATCCCTTCACCCAGTCAGCTCTGTGGATAGCAGTATTTCCTATCAGCACTCCTCAGCTTTACAAATGATCTTTTTCTAAGAAGACGGGAATGCACAAAGCACAATTAAGCAATATCCATCAAGCTTTCCATACAACGAAGACATTTTAAAAATACATTTGAGTTTTCAGGTGACTCAGCAGTAAGAGCCATTAGCACACCACCTAAATCAGGACTTGGAAACTTTATTAAAATTGGATTTTTAACCTGAGCCCAATTTCCATTGCTTGTAAAGATCCCACTGGACTTCTTAATATTCATGCTATTAACTTTAAAGATTCAAGCAGTCATTATGAGAGGAGGTGGAATACAGGGCAGCCCAGGCAGATCAAGGTTGCAGGTAAAATCCCCATGGAGAGCGGGTAGACAGCCTGAATGTGGATCTTACACGTCTTCAGAAGCAAAAACACTGTTTTTCTGTCTCTTCCTGTTTCTCTTCTCTGGAGCTCTCTCCATGACTCCTCAGTCCTCATACACAAGCACATTACATATTTGTAGGAAAATAATAACCAAAATGAACAAAAGCAAACCATTGAATTACAAAGGGCACAGGAGTAGGAATCCAGTTTAAACCAGAGGTGAGCTGCTCTAGGTAAATCCCTCCTTTGGTGTACCAATAAACTCACTCAATGACAAAATGCAAAACAGCGAAGTCAGGGCTAAGGACCTACAAACTTAATTAAGAGGAAACCCCTTTATTTGTACATCACCTTGAACAAGTTTCATAAACTTCATTGTTCCTATTTGTAAAACGGGGAAGCCCCAGCTTTAAGAAAATGGTTGCAAAAACAAAAGATACCACTGTGTGAGACATTTAGAACAGAAGCCCCAGCCATATCAAAGGCTATTATTGCAGAATGCTGACCAAATCCATAGGTCTGCTGCATTTCTTCCCACTTCATTCACTGAGCCTTCCAATACCAGTGGGTTTCTGTAAAGGAGGGCTGTGAACATTAGCTTTGCTTCTTGAGAAAAGATTTCATGTACATTTTGGTCAATGGTGATGTCTTAACTTTTCATTTTTCCCTCAGTATCTGGCACAGTGCTCAATACATACAACAAACACACTAACCACTTAAATACTAGTAGTGCAGAGATCACCTACTAGTGTTTTCTCATTCCCCACTGATAACACTGTATAGCCACACAATTAAGAAAGACAACTGCTTCTCCAGTTGACTACCATCATATGCTACTAGTAGTCACCACTCTTATACCTCCAGCTTTGAAACAGAGATAGTACTTCTGACCTAAATCATCATAATTTAAAGGAGATGAAATCTCCCAATGTTTAAAATAATAAATATATTTATTTATTTATTTGAGCACTGTATGTTTCATACACCATGTTCCCTGCTCAAGGCACTTCCAGTTTGCTGGGGAAGATGACCCTGAAGCAGACACTTTTACTGCAATGTTTTGTCATAGCAGAGCTGTGACAAAATGCCTGAGAAAATCAACTTAAAAGAAGGTGATTTTATTTTGGCTCAAGGTTTCAGAGATTTCAGTCCATGGTTGCCTGGCTCAAGACAGTAACACCATGGAAGATGGGCTTGGCGGAGAAAAACAGCTCACTTCTTGGCAGCCAGGAAGGGGAAAGAGAGAAGGAGAGAGGGTTGGGTGGATGCTAGAGAACAAGACACATCCTTTATTATGGGTGATTCAGTGTGTCAACTTGAGGAGTTTAGACTTTTCACTGAGAGATACAGCAAGAAGCCAGAATCCTTACTTTATAAATATCCTCATCCTGTGCAAAAGGAGGGCACAGAGATTTTGTGAGTGCTACATCTGCCCTTGTGGGTGGGGTTGGGAGGTGACCTGCATACAATATAAGGCCTCTTCTTCTACTCCTGCCCCTTTTGTCCTGGCTACTTTTACTGGCTGCTTCCTTGAAGTGTTGCCCTGGTGCCATGCCACCTTTCCTTGAAGCCAGCTGATTGTGGACTGAAACATCCACAAACTGTGAGCTAAATAAACCTTTCTTTCTTTAACTTTGGATATAGAGAAAAAAGTATGCAAGACATCCTTCAAAGATACATCATCAGTGATCTACATTTTAATGCTGGGCTCCAACTTCCAATAGCTCATTCAGATATGAACCCTTCAGCAGATTAATCAATTGATGAGTCATCACTACATGAGCCAGTCACCTCTATAGGCTCTAGTTCCCAACAGTGGGACAGAGGATTGAAACAACAACAACTGCCATACAAATACCCAGCTAGGAAGCCCGTCTGAGGCCCAGAAGACTCCAGAGTAGACATCTCAGACAGGTGGCAAATGGCTGAGCAGATACAAAAAGTTGAAAAGAAAGAAAGAAAAAATCCTACCTAACTTTAAACATAAAAACACTGATTATTGACCAATTGAAAGTTGCAGAAATTAAGAGAGAGAACGAGGGAGACAGAACAACTCAAATGACAGTCATCAAATTCTTGTCATTGCCAGATGTCTGGGAGCTATTTCTGCAAATGGAAGCCACTAACTGAATCCCAGGGTTGGGTCCTGTGGTTAGGGCCTAGTTTCTCTCAAGGCCTGTTAGTCAGCCAGTTAATCTGCCAGGATGCAAGCGGAATCTTTGCTGGTCCTTTTGTCTCACAAATGAGTTATGAAATTCAAACTACTGGCGCCTAACCCTTTGAACTCTTAGGCAAAGTAATTGTTCCAACATAGATCATCAAAACTGCACCCAGATTCTGAAGAACTCATGATCTGCAATATATCTGGCTGTTATCAGGAGTTTACAGATACTACAATTGGCAGGGCTTTATCTTAGACTCTAACTGGACCCAGACAACTTCATACATGGTTTTACACAGCTTCACAGAATGGGGAAGAAAAGCACTTCTTTTAAATCTAAGTTTAAGTGCTAAGGCTTTTTGAAGTGCAGCTTTAAAGTGACTTCCTAAAATTTGCATTTTTTACCTAAAATGGGCATGTCAACATTACTCTGATTCCAAGTAGTAGTCAGAGCCATTAAAAGGCCTAAAAGCTTATTTTTCAAAAGAAGCCTTGGTTTCAGCCTCCCAGAGGTTTCTGGCTGTGTCCATTAGAAAATGCTGCAGCTGGCAGCTGTTTCCTTCTGAAAGGGCAGGGACGAACCTCTGCAGGGGTTAAGCGGTCAAGGCTTGGTAAGAATCCTCTTTTAGACAGAAAAATATTAATTAAAAATATGTACGGCAAGTGTGGTTCCTCTCAAATACTTATCTTACAAAATGTAACATACAAGAAATGTATTGAAATCCCATCTAAAAGAAGTTACTTTGATGTTTATTTGACTTTCTTAAATTCATACACATACACACACACACACACACACACACACACACACACACACGTAGTTGGCTTGACTCTGAAGCCACATATTTTGGCTCAGGTGAGTATGCGGCTCCGTTTGGAGATTCCACATTTACACGGTGGCTCCAACTCTCACACTGAGCTAGTGTATGCTGCTGTGTTCTCACTGAAAATCTCCCAGTTTTCGAACTGGGACGGGGCCAGAAGGACTTTGCTTAATTTCAAAGCTGAGGTTTGCTGTCCTCAGCGCCCCAGCAGAAGCGCAGCGGAACTAGGACGCGAGCTCTCCTCACGCGACTGCACGCACCGTTCCAGCAGCCCAAAGCCGGAGCAGAGGGCGCGACCCAGGCAACCCGCTCGCTGGGAAGCGGCTCCTAGGCGGTTCCAGTCCCAGCGCCGCGGCCGGGCGGGTTGGGTAGCTCGCACTCCCCTTCCTGCCTCCCGCGCCGCGCGGGCTGCCTGGCGTCCCAGGTGGGTCACCTCCGAGGAAGGGGAGGCGGAGGCGCGGCAGGCGGAGCGCGGATCCTGGGAACCTTAGGGTTGGACCTACGGGGCAGGTGGGCTCCAAGCTCGATCAAACAAGGAGCAGGAGGTGGATGGACCTTCCAGGAAGGCGGTGACTCCGGAGTCACCTAACCTCGAGTCACCCAATCCTGCCCCGCCCTCCGGGCTCCGCAGGCGCCTCCCCTCGGATGAAGCCCGAGCTGCGTGTGGGCAGCAGTGGGCGCTCGCGGTCCTGTCTGCCCGACGCGCGCTCCCTCAGGGCCCGGCCTCCTCCGTCCCTCCTTCTGCTCCCGCTCCTCCCCCTGCTCCTCCCCTCCCCTGGATTAAGCTCCAAAACGCCCGCCTGCAAGGTGCTGGGCGAGCTGGCAGCCGGGAGCCGACGCCAGCGCCAGGTCTCTGCGGGAGCCCGTGTCCCCTCCCCGCCTGACGACCCGAATCTGGGGTCCTGGGATTCACTCCACCACCAGCCGCGAGGGCTCCGCGGCGCTGCCCATGGCCCAGCCCGAGAGCCGGTTTAGGGCGCCCGACGGGCGGGACCGGCGCGCAGCTCAGGTGAGTGGGGCGCGCATGGGGCGCGGGCGCCAGCTGAGAAGGGGCGCGGCGGGCTCAGCGGGGTGACTTCACCCGCGCCCCGGACTTAGGCTGAGTGGGAGCCCAAGGTGAGCGGAGGCTGCCGCAGGTGGAGTGGAGGTAGAGGGAGTCAAGACCCAGGTGCTGTCACCGGGTATCCTAGTACCCTGGACCCTCGGCTCTGGAACTGCCCCGACCGGTCCGTGAGGACGGAGATCTGAGTTTCCCACTTGCACTGGATTAGATGTGGTTCCACAGCAGAGCTTTGTTCCTGCAGCCCCTGCGCGCCCGCGGCTTCTCCCTAGAACCTCGGAGGCACCGCGGGTGCAGCGCTCCTCCGAGTTGAGCACCCCTGGGCAGAGAACTGGGCCAAAGTCCCACGGGCCGCAGGGCAGCCGCGCCTGGGACGCCTTGGTCCAGTTTGTCTTTGCATTCAATTGGGGTAGCGAGGAGGAGACCTCCTGGGGGAGAGGGTTGCTCGCAAGGGAAGAGACTGAAGCGACCGCAAGTAGCTTCTCCTCCAGTGACTGGCGGCGCCTGCTTTCTCCTGTTACTTTTTACTCCGCCCCACCCCCTCGGTTTCTTTTTCGGGTGCTCTGATTAGTGAAGGCTAATGGGCACGAGAGCAAAGGGTGTTGGGATGCGCATCTGCGCTTGGAGCGTGCGGCCCCTCTCAGAACCCCGGGCTCCTTCGTGGGTCCCTCCCCGCCCAGGGTCGCTCTCCCTGCTCGCTGTGGACTCCGTGTCCCTCGCCCTTCTGGCCCCAGCCCGTCCCGGAGCCCGAGGGAGGGTCTGGCTCCAAGACCCCAACCTGGAGCGCAGGCTGGTGATGCGATGGAGAAGCAGAAATCAAAGCCGGGATGTGGGTTCCGGGAGATGCAGGTTGCGCTGAGCTGAACGCAGAGTTGTGCATCTCAGCACCTCCGCGGAGCAGGCACCTGAGCCTTCAGGCACAGCCACAGCTCTCCCCGGGGCCGGGCCGCGAGTAGCATCCGCCCTCTCTACCCTCCACTGTGCAGAAGCAGCCTTACCCTTGCCTTGCTCTGCCTTGCGCGAGACTCGCTCCTCCCCTTCCCTCGGTGTTATCCCGGCTATTTTTATCCACAACTTCTGCCAAGAAGCTTTTGGGGGGATCCTGGGAAGGCAGCTGTAATTGCACTGTCTTCAGACTGAGCCCTCGCAAGCAGTCTCCGTCCCTAAAGTGTACCTGCGGGAGCAGTTATCGGACGAAACAGGGCGTGCGCCTGTCCACCTGGCTCAGCCCCAGCTCTGGAACCGAACCCCCTCTGACCGCTGGGCTCACCTCGCCTCCTGGCACTAGGAGCCCACCCATGTCCCCAGCGGAGACTCCTTGGGTGTCTGCCCAGCCTCGGGGGCTGCAGCCGGAGCACACACAATACCTTCAGTGACAGGCTCACTGCTATCAAATCTTACCTTGTTTTGTAGAAATGCAGGGGCCAGCATGCTCCAAAGGGTAAATTCCAGGAATTCTGTGTTTAAAAAGAGAGAGAGAGACAGAGAGACAGAGAGAGAGAGACACAGAGAGAGACAGAGAGAGACAGAGAGAGAGCTCAACTTCTGCCTCTGCTTTTCTGAAGCACCTCCTTCGGCTTTCAGAATTATCTTGCTTTCTGCTTTCCCAGCGACAGCGGCTGCAGTTAGGATAAGCCTGACCTACTGAAATTCCAGGCGGATGCTGCAGCTGCACATCCCTGAGTTATCCTCTTCTTTGTCTTTCCAGTGCTTGGAGTTTTGTTTCCCCACAGGGCTGCAGAAATAACGTATTGAAATGGACCATGGTGTTATGTAAGGTTTTCTTTTTGCCAGCGCTAGGCAAGGAAAGGTCCCCTTCTAAAGGCTCCTCTATGCATCTAACTCTTGCAGCTGAGTTTGACAGGGCTGGACAACTTCATGACTAAGCACTCTCAAGTGAGAGCAGTTAATGACAACAGCAGCCTAGAAGGAGAATCACTGAGGGAGGCTTTTGGAGCTGTTTCCGGACTGCTGTCCACTGTGAGGCTGCTGGGTCTCCAATGCACCACAGCTTTAAACTGGGAGATTTTTACTGGGGAAGCTGGTGAGTGGCTTGAACTTGCAGATGGGCAATGAAGGAGCCAGGGCTCCTTACTCAGCAGACAGTGTGCCTGGAATGAAGCCTTGTTCCCCTGCTCCAGCAGGGCCTGGAAAGGACATTTGCTTAGGGGCCTATCTTCAAGCAGAGAGCTTTTTGTACTTCACAGTATACATGGGGTTGTGCCTACGCTGTTGAAAGAAGAGATTCTCCTTCTAGAGAAACTCAAGGGCTTTCTGAAGGGAAAGACATGGGGAAACTTTTCTTGTCTCGAGTAGAATTTCAGTGGTGAGTAGGAAGGTTCACTAGCTGGCATGAATTGCTTGATGGTATACACTCCCTGTCTGAGACCAGGGCGTTTACTGTTGGTGGTTGGAGCCCACAGCAAAGACAGTCTTATTCTTTCCTAGAGGCTGCTTTGTACAGGGAGGGACAGGGAAATGTGTTGGCTGTGCTGATGGAACTCAGTCTTTGCCCAGATGAGGACTCAGACATGTACCCCAGGCCTGCTCCTAAGCCACGGCCCCTGTGTGAGACACCTGTGGCTGGCATGTAGCAATTTTCTGGCTCTTCCAAAGTGCAGTGACTTTCCATCTGTTGCAGGAGGAAGTAACTTTCCAGTTGGGGTTGGCAAAAATCAGGGTTGTTTTCCGTCTGCCTGGGGTGCCTATGATTCCTCACCCCAGCTCCTTGGACAAATGCCTTCTATCAAGGCTGCTCTCTCCTCATAGGGGCAGCAAGAGAATTTCAACTGAGTATGAAACCAACTTCCTGTACCAAAACCAAAGGCAAACTGGCCTCTCTCTGAGCTTCCCATGTAAGACAGATTTCTGTAAAACAGAAATTGAGGCATTTTAGTATAAAGTGGCAAAATATATAGAGAAGATATTTTTACAGTCAAAAGACACTTGTAGAGTTCTGTAGTTCTTTCCTTCTTGTATTTTGCTTTGTGTCCCCTTTAATGTTCATGAAAACTGCAATTTGGGTGTGAGTTAATTGTTAGTGCTAAGCATGAAGCAAAGACAAGCACATCTTATCATTGCTCTGTTTCTTCTTGTGATCAAAAATTCTTTTAGCACTAGGTCTCACAGAATTGTTAGTCTCATTTTCAGAATCAGACTTAACTTTTAGACTTCTCTATTTTTTTTTAACATAGTCCATGACATCTGTCTAAAGAAAATGTGTTTGGAGTGGGGGGCTGATATCAGTTTATCAAAAAAGGAGGTGAGTTGTGGATAGGTGAACCCATTCGAGAAAAGTGAATCATGACCAGTGTCGCCAGATGACTTTCGAGTCCCATGTCTAAATCTGTCATCAGACTGGATCATTAGCACTCTGCTGGCATTTTAATCATTTATTTAATAGCTGTTCCTTAGAAAAGTGAATGAATGATTGAACTGGATCATCGAGCAATCCTGGAGAACCAGATGGCATCATTTCTATTTTAAAAATTGGGACATTGCAGATGAAGAAGCTTTATTAATTTTCTAAAAGTACAAAGGATCTGGACTGGGATTTGGATCTGCCCGTTCCAGTTGAATTATGGGCATGGTACAGCTCTCAGCGCCCTCTTGTCCGTCACCACTAAAGTCCTACAGAGTGGGCGAACGTACCCAGCAAACACACATCTACCTAGGGGTTGGAGCCTCCCGTTAGGAATAGATATTCAGCTGGGAGCTGGGGCCCTTCCTCTTTGGATGCGTCATCCATCCCTGAACTGAGGCTCAATTGTGTGGTCCCACTTGGGCTTTGGAATCTTGAGGGAATCACAGAAGGACACAGGAAACAGTGAGGTGATTACCAGCCTGGATCGTGAATCAAGCAGTGACATCAGCAGCAGTGTGGTCCCTGCAGATCCGTTCCTTTGGCACCGTCTTGACATCATCCTGGACACCAGTTCCCTTCACTACTTTCTCACTTTCCACCTGGCTTTATAGCATCTCTACAGATCCTAGAGGCAATGCCTGTTCTTCAACAAAGCCCCACTGCTCCCTGAGCCAGGCAGCCTTGCAACCAGGCGATACACAGAGACTCTGACAATCCATCCTCGGGACTGCCTCAGGCATGAAGCACTCCCAGCTTCCTCTGCCCGCGGGGAATTAAGGCCATAGCTTTTTCGGGCCATTAGAATAATATTTACTGGGCCATAGTCTGTCAATAGTTATGTGTTACCACGAGAGGGCTAGAAAAATGAATGCATTATTCTTCCAAGGAATGGCTTGAACATAAAGAAATGGATCCCAGTGGGCATCTTTTCTAACTTTTTTCTTTTTTTTTTTTCTTTCTCCATACTGCATGCTTTTTAATGGTTTTCCAGCAGGGGTCGCAGACTCAATCTCTTTCACTGGCCAGGCAAGGAGTAAAGGGGCACCCTGTGTACAACTGGGCCTTCTTAGGTCAGGGGATCCTGCAGCTCAGACCTCCACTTCTACCCCTGAAGGCTGCAGACAAGACCTCAGACCTGGCCCAGCCGGATCTTATTGTTTATTTTTCAAAACGGGCTATGAGTTCACAGTTTTATGTGGAATCTACTGACTTCTAAGCACCAGCACCTAATGCAACGTTTCCAAATAGCACTATGTGAACCCAGTAGGACATTGCTGTCTTCAGGCCTCCTCAGTCCCACAGCCTCCAGTTTACCAACTTTGGTTTCTGGGGAGAAAGTAGATGTAGTTGGAAGTCAGGGAGACTCAGGAGAGTCATTTTCCCAGCATGTCCTGGAGAGAGGCTCCAAGGGTGTGGCCTCGGAATGTTCTCATGGGCTACCCTCCCTGTCACCAGGGCTGTTTGTTTTAATCTGTTTGAGGTGCTTCTTGTCCCTGCCACAGTGAGCAGTTACAGAGACCACATTTCCTCTTTGAACACATGTTTATCGAGTTCCAGCCTTGTAGCAAGTATTTTTCTACTCACTGGGGGCACGGTGGGGAATAAAACAGATGGGAATCCTCACCCTTGTGTTTATGTTCCAGAGGAGGACACAGACGAGAAACAGGGAGATAAATCACCTCTACTGGTTAGACAGCGGTGCTCTAAGGGTTAGAAATGAATCAGTCAGGGGAAGGCAGCGTGAAAAGGCAGTGCAGGGGGCAGGAAGCATTAGGCAGGTCTCCGCGAGCCTGCAGTCTGGTGTCTGGGTTACCCTAACCCAAATCAATTTCGTGTCCAATCGGAAACACGTTTTGACATGAGACTGGAGTGTTGAGTGTACACTAACATCGGGTTAGTCCCCGATGCTGGCCTAGAGTCTCACTTTCAGTGAAAGTAATTACAGATTCCACCTGTTGAGACTTCCTGTGTCTTAGGCATGGGCTGGAAATGCAGGAATGAACTAATCCGATCAAGGCAAGCGTCAACTGATGATGGGATCCAGGCACAGGGCAAGTAGAAGAGCGCAGAGATAACCTGTGTTGTTGGCGGGGCAGTTATCCAGGAGATTGAGAAATGAGTGAAAAATGCGTAATGTTCCTTAGTAGACCATTCCAAGAACACAGGCCTTTCGTCATCCTATTTCGTTGTTCCATAGGAATGGCTTTCTCGGCTCAGCTGTGCAGCGAGCCTGGTGATCTGTATTCATCCTCTTAGCTGACAGTCTCACTTGCTCACTATGTCTCCCTGCTCCTGCCTAGTTTCTGTCCTTCAGGACAGAAGAGACCTGGAGGTGGTTGTTTGCTTCAGTTTCTGGAGCAACATATCCACCTCCAAGGAGTTGTTCTGAAAAGAGCCAAGCAGCATTTCTGTGTGGGTTAACTGGGAGGACTTCTTGGGGGAAGAAATAGTTAAGAAAGACAAGAGAAGCGCAGGAGAGGAATGCCAAAGGTGAATGAGCAGATAGGGTCAAATTTGGATACTCCTAAATGTTTAAGAATTCATCAAACTGTTTTTCAGGTCCCCAGTGTGATTAGAGAAGCAAATAAATGCAACTTTAATGTAAATCCTTTGCTGACTGGACCTTGGCTATGTAAAATTTCTCTGGCACAACAAGCTTATAGCAATGACAATTCCTCACTTCCATATACTATGGTGTGATACTGCATTTATCTCTCTCTGTACCCAGAGCTACAAGGGCTGAGAGGAGCTCTTAAAATCTCCATGTTATATTTAAGGAAACTGAGGCTTGGAAGTGAGGAGGCTGTGTTTAGATCCTCAGAGGTGGTGGCAGATGCTGGATCTGCTGCTAGGACTCTACCTGCACTGAGCAGAGAGCTCAGGGTGGAGAGTGTTAAAATCCCTGGAGCCTGAGTAGCTCACATTTTTCTATAGGTGAAGGGATACATTTAGATTTAAAACACTCACATCTTCCTTTATCCATTTCAGCACTTTAGGTCTTGTCCAATTTCTCCTAGAATTCCTACAGATTTGGTACTCCTAAGCCCAGGGTTGCTTTATGTAAATTACTTCATTCTTTAGTTTGCGAGAGTAAATCAAAGTCCTATATCAGCAGTTAACATACAGTGAGAGAAAGGTGATTACAGATGCGGCTGAAATGAAAAGACTGCTTCCCTGGCTCGAGAAAATAAATTCTTTGGTAACATGGAGTGAGCGCTTGCACTTACTAGGGTTGATTCTCAAGCCATGCCTTTCTCACCTTTCTGGGCCAGAAGGAGGGAAAGGGTGTAAGTTATCAGTTGTTTTGATTTAGCTTCTGGAGTTTTTTTCCCTGGGAGATGGAACCCAGAGCCTGTGCTCTGAGCTACACCTCAAGCCACCTCCTGCTTTTCAAAACAGGATCCTAGCAACTTCAGTCCCCTTGGCCTCAGCCTCCTACAATAGCAGGAATATAGCAAGGCCAGTGCACCCAAGGAAACCTTGGATGGGTTTTCTGGGCCTTTGTTTTCTCAGCATTTGAATGAAAATAACGAATATACTGATCTCCAGTATAAAGTCGCTGGCACAGGGATCCCTAGAAACAGTTTTCTTCTCCTTCTGTTTCTTATAAG